ATTTCCAAGTAGCGGAATGCTACAGAGGTAAACAAACAATATCATTTGGAAGAGGATTAATAAGTGTTGACATTCATACAAATGAGTAATCCTGTAAACGTAAACAGAATATTTTATATAGATTTTTTTTAATGAAAACTTAAAATCCTGCATTATTTTCCGGACAACCCAATAATAATTCAACAAAATAAAATCTATATGAACATGGCATTTTTACTCTGTAACCATTTATTTTAATTCTAGATAAAAATTGTATACTTTACTAGCTGTTATTATATATGTTTGAAATAAAAATTTAAGTAAATTTGAAAAAGCTACCGATAAATATTATTATTATACAAAGTGTAATTAGTTTTTGTATGTGAGTTTGTTTATATATATTTGTATAGACAAACTGTCTTAATGTGTGTCTAATTCCTGAGATTTACTGTTTTATTTGCAAATTTTGCAATTTGGCGCGTATAGATTATATCTAGTTTTGTATGCTATAAGTAAAACAGTTTTAACCCCGTGCTAATTTAAATATTAGCGTGCTAATTCCGTATTTGGTGGTACTTTTTATGTTTAAAAAAAGAACATATAAAACTATTAGACATCCTCTGTTTAGTTTAAAAAAAAATATAGAAATATGTCTTTCACACATTTTAAATTGCTATTTTGTATATCGGAATTTGTTTCGCTTGTTGTGATCATGCATAATATCCTTCCGATTTTTTGTGGACAATGGAACTTGTATAAAAGAAAGATTACTGCTATTCCTAAGTAACTCATTATCCTCGATGAAGATCAAATTTGTGCAACCTTCCATACAAATGCCTGCCCAATCTTACACGACCCCATCTTGTCCGGGTGAAAATGTTTCCTTTTCTTTTCCAAACCTTCGTTCGGCTGCCAGAAGACCTCAAACAAAATCGTGGCTCAACTGAAAACAAGATTTTAATCCTATCTTGCTCAGCCCAATTGATGTGATTTTTTGCGAAATGTAACCGAGCTGTTCTGTACTTTGTCAGAAGTTCTGGACCAATTTTCTGAGATATTCCTTGATGCGTAACCTCCAGTAACTTGGTAGCGATGGAAAACATTTCGGATAGTTGTTCTCGGAGCTTTAAGACACTGCCCACATATGCTTGATTTCTTCCATCTTCCAACAATGCTATGATACTAGACGAATCAATTTCACTTAAAACGATCACTCAAACGCACAAATTCAAAACTTAAAAATGATACAACTTAAAAAAATCAAACCACCGTGTGGTGGCCACCTGCAGTTACCACGGTACACGCTAGATGTCACTATCGGTTATAGAATGGTCTCAACTTCACTAGTTTCGTGGTCCAATTTTTATCTTACAATTAATTAAGGTTTTCAGTTGAGATAAAAAAGCAACAGATTAAAGGTCTTAACCTTCACTCTGCAGCCAATCAGAGTAGAGCCCTTTCGAATATAAACAGCGGCTTCAGACGCGTCTCCCGATGAGGTCTCACACAACACCTCTAAATTAATGTATCCGACAACCTCTCACTAATCACCAATGGAACACCGACAACTGAGCAAGGATACTCACAGCATTAGCCTGGAACTCGCCTTCTCAACACAGCCGACTTGGCCAACTGCTGCAGCGAATCCCTTCACCGTTGCAGAGTCAACAGACTCACGGCGCCCGGATTCCAGCCAACGGTTCTCTCGTTCACGGACCACAACCAACGGCACACGCACACAGTCCTGGCCTGGATTCATCGTCTCAACGCTACAAAAATAACACCGGCCCTTCTCAAGACCACCAAAAACTCCCAGTCACTAAACACAGGTAAGTTAGGAAGAAGCTTTACAGAAAAGCCAACAAATAAGAGACGGACTATTAATAATAATTAAGGTTTTTAGTGGAGATAAAAAAGTCAATGGCACGAGCGGGATTCGAACCCACGATCTTCGGCTTGATACGCCGCTGCTCTACCACTTGAGCTATCGTGACCTCGATCCGCTCAGACACAAACTTCCTATCTCAAACCCACCTTTTGAGTTTTCCCTCCTTTTTGCCATTTTTCAAATGTCGTGTAATTGTGTAATGTCGTGTAATTTCATTTTTAATTATTAAATTCACTAATTTCGTGGTCCGCCTGACATTTGAAAAATGGCAAAAAGGAAGGAAAATTCAAAAGGCGCGGTTGTGATGGGAAGTTGGTGACCGAGTAGATCGAGGAAACGATAGCTCAAGTGGTAGAGCAGCGGCGTATCAAGCCGAAGATCGTGGGTTCGAATCCCGCTCGTGTCATTGACTTTTTTTCTCAACTAAAAACCTTAATTATTTGTAATATATTAATTGGTCAAGCGGACCACGAAATTAGTGAATTAAATATTAATTTTCAAAATCCAATTGTAAAGTGGGTGATTTTATCTTAGTTTTATTTACCTCTAGTCCTTTAAAACAGACTAAAATATTGTAAGATAATCAATGGAGGATTGTCTAAGAGATAATTAAAAATATTAAAGGTGGATACTTTTTGTACTTTTCAGAACATTGCGAAGTGTTTTTCCTTAAACTGGCCTTGTCCCTGATTTTATAATATAAAATATTAAAATGTTTTATTTGTTCTATATAATCACTATTGTACATTAATACCATTTGAATTTTTGATATATTACACGAGGATACATTTTTAAATTGGTCATTTTTCAGGCGAGGATGACGGAAAATTCAACTTTCTTTTAAGAGGCAATGCGTTCATCTGGCCACAAAGAGAAACAAATTGCAATTTTAAGAGAGACACGTGTGCTGTCGACCTTGCACGAAAAGGTAATTTACAACCGCAACTCCGGCTGAGTATCAAAGTCCTTCCTCTGGAACTTTATGAGAGGAGTTTTAATATTATAAGAATTTGTCATGGCCCGGTGTTCATTGTTGTTGATAAAAAACAACCGTTTCTAGACTACAATGGCTATGGATAAAACGCCAACAATGAGCGATAAGAAGAAGGAAAAAATAATATTGCAATTTTTCGTAGAGGATAAAGTACATGTTTTATAATCGCATCACTTCATAATTGGTCATGTCCACTTGTTAAACAAATTGAATAGCAAAATAATATTGTTGTATTATTAAAAATGTAGAAAGGTTTTACAAAGAACAAACCTTCACTCTTTTAAAAGAGGTTGCTGTAAAGAAAAGATAATATGTTTCTACAAAAGGGTAAATATTTTAACGAAGCATGTTATCTGTTGTTAATTTGTGTAATTATGTATATTTTAGTGACAAATGATTTTTTGTCTTTTTCAAATTTTTAGTTTTATTTATTTTGCGCGTTATTCTATAAAACTATGGTTGGATATATTCGGATACATTTTGGTTGCATACATTGGACGTTAAATAAGAGAGGTAGAAAGAGAACAAATGTAACCAAATGAACCTCTGGGAAAGGAGTGGCCGAATCTCTAAATTCCAAAAGTACGAAATGAGAGCATGACAGAAATAATGAGTGTCGAATAAACATGCTAAAAACTGAAAAGAGGAAGATACATGTTATGGTCATATTATACGCATGGACTCCAATCGTTGGCTCTAAAAAATGAAAACATGGTCCCCTCTAGGACATCGGTATAGAGGCAGTTCGAGCACCACGTGGGTTAGCACGGTAACTAGTTTGGCAGTGGATGCTTAGGACGGAAATTTATGACGAATGAGAGTCAGCATCCGATATTACATTGGAAACGCTAAATAAAAATTATTCTGAAGACTTGAACAAAAATCATTCATTTATTCAACAAATAATTTTCAGAAAGAAAGCACCTAAGAAACCCTGAATACATGTTTTTTGGAAATTCAAAAAAATTGTCTCAAATTTTTTGCTTTTCAAAGTCTGTAAGAATATAGAAAATAAAACTTTCACATACAGGGTACTGTCAAAGTGTCCGAATGGCATTCTAGCAGAACACACTTCATATTAGAAGTGAAAAAGTTCTAAGATTAAAAAAAAAATCGTGAGAAAGCTGATTAAGATATTTGAATTCTGTAAAGATTATGGGTTCAATACATACAATGGGCAAACGGTAGAAGTAATAAGTAAGAATAATTCACTTTCATATCAGCTAGAGGATAATCAGTGATTGCTTGAAACATATTAGTCTCGTTGAAATACTCTCGAAATCATTTTCACATTTACAACTATAATACTCACACAAATAATTAAGGTTTTCAGTTGAGATAAAAAAGTCAATAGCACGAGCGGGATTCGTACCCACGATCTTCGGCTTGATACGTCGCTGCTCTACCACTTGAGCTATCGTGACCTCGATCCACTCGGACACCAACTGCACATCTCAACCACACCTTTTGAATTTTCCCTCCTTTTTGCCATTTTTCAAATGTCGTGTAATCAATTTGATTTTCGACGACAAATGAAAAGTGGTAGAGCAGCGGCGTATCAAGCCAAAGATCGTGGGTTCGAATCCCGCTCGTGCCATTGACTTTTTTATCTCAACTAAAAACCTTAATTATTTGTATTATATTAATTGGTAAAGCGGACCACGAAACTAGTGAATTTAATAAGTTTAAAATGAAGTATACCTTCACTAAAGCTCTCCGTGGCCATTTCATTTGTCGCCGAGAATCAAATTGATTACACGACATTTGAAAAATGGCAAAAAGGAGGGAAAATTCAAAAAGGTGTGGTTGAGATGGGAAGTTGGTGTCCGAGTGGATCGAGGTCACGATAGCTCAAGTGGTAAAGCAGCGGCGTATCAAGCCGAAGATCGTGGGTTCGAATCCCTCTCGTGCCATTGACTTTTTTATCTCAACTAAAAACCTTACTTAATTGTATGATATTACTTGGTCAAGCGGACCACGAAACTAGTGAAATTAAATAATATTCACGTTGATTATATACAATTATATTTTATATTTTTAAAATTTTATAGAATGTTTGTAAAACAAATTTGTATTCAAAGTTTAACACACAAAAATTACAAAAACCAAATCATTTTGTCGGGAAAGTAAAATGGAATTCGTCTATGTATTTCTTCTTAATTAATGAATTAATTACATTAATTTTAAAAGTAATAAGTAATTAAGTAACTACTCATAGGACAGGCTCTAACAAAACTCAACCATTGAAGATTTTTTACATGTCACTGAGGATCGATCCACTGCAACATAATCAGTTTTGGGCGGCACTACTCACAAACAGTGACTCCCGCGTATGTGAATTGATCAAATTTAATTCTGAAGAATATTAACGAGGTGTATTATACACAATCTGTCTGAAAGTTTAAAAATTATGATTTAACACAATTTTCCTAAAACACCAAACTTTGTTAACAAAAACTATAAAGATGAAAATATGAATATCAAACGAACTATCTTATCAACAATAAAAAAATATAAATTCCAATATTGTTTATTTTGAAATTAATAATACTTGAAAATAGAGGTTGAAAATATTGAAAAAATGTTATATTTGTAAAGCTTTTATAATGTTAATTACAGTTCCATACTCGTGTTAACAGGTTTACCCGACTCTCCGACAGCGCGACCATAAACATAATTGTTTGTTTAATTTATAAATTATCTAATTATTAATATAAATTTATTGATTATTATTTATTAGTTTTATTTGATAATCGATTTTGTTCTACCCGTCGCTACAGAAAATATGGCGAAGTGGATAAACACAAAAATGATTTTTCCGGAGTTTTCCTCCTTGTGAGCTATTAAGATAGCGATATGGCTCTTTGTCAAAGAAAATAAAAGCATTTTTAATATATTTATCTCTGAGCGTGATCGTTTACACGATTGAAACACAAAAAAAAAAACAATTAAAATACATCGAAAATTTCATCTTGTCAGGTATATAAGCAACACTGTTCAGTGAATTTCAGATCACTTTGTCTGCTCGAACATGCTCACTCCATTGTTTCTATGTAAGTTATTCAGTTGAAGGCACAATTATGTTACTGAATGAAAAATGAAGTTTTGATAGTTTCAGGGCTGGCCCTTTTCGTCGTACGAGGAGAAGTCTGTCCTCCCTCTGATGAATTCCCCTTATGTGCAGATTGCGGTGATAAAATGCAAAGTTTTACAAATCTTCATGAAATGTATGACGCAAGTAAGGCACAAGATGATTTTTAAAACAGTAGCCAATTTAATATTTAATTTTCAGTACGGGTTGTCCCAGCATTATGCTGCTAAAATATCTTTAAATGGTAGTCTGAAGCCCATCAAGCTGAAAAATTTATGATATTTTATAATTAAATGTTGTAGAGAATACTACAATAAAAAACGAAAATGTGATGATTTATAAGATTTTTATGTAACGTTGACTTCTGTGAGTTTTGCAGAATGAAAATAGATAAAGACAGATATTTTTCTAGAAACAATTAGCGTGTGTTTATAACATACACAGATTTGTATTTTGTATTTGTATTTTCATACTAATATAATCAAATCTTATTGTTTCAGAGTGTGATTTCCAGCATTATGGATATTGTACCGCAAACCACGCTCCATGTACCCTCGAGTTGGCCCCAAAGTGTGCATGGAATGGCCGTAAATTTAAAAGCTTTTCAAACCCATGTTTGCTAAACCAATTCAACAAATTTTACTACGATCGTACGTCGACATAAGTTTTTCTATTACAAATTAATCAAAGCTGGCGTATTAATATTGTTATGCTTTTTTGTTTTTACAGAATATGTAGTGGTTTCCAACTGCCCGTGTAGGGACGACGCGAACTCGTAAATTTTTTAGTTATTATAACAAATAATTTTGGAAGAAATAAATATACTGCAAACGATTCAAATTTTCAATTGTTTTTATCTTCTTCGACATTCATTTTTTAAATATGTGTGTGTGTGTGTGTGTGTGTTGTATATATTTGTATATATATTAATCAAAGTTTCACGTTTTTTAACGATTAAAAATAAAGACTTTGACTAAAAGAGTTAGAAAAATATCTAAGGAAACTAAAACTAAAAAAATTGCTAAGGAAAATGGCAAATAAAAAAAAAAAAGACGGACTGATAAAATGTGTTTTAATTTTGTTCTAGATTTTTAATTAACATTCCAATATGGCGTATTTCCTCCTTTCCTCCTCTTTCCTTAATTACAACTCGAAGACGCCTCGGTATACTTTCTGCCAGTCTGGAAATGTCTCTTTGCGGGAGGTTAGCCCATTTTTCACGAAGAGACATTTCAAAATCGTGGAAAGTTCAAAATATCAGGAAGCGATGGACGTGTTCTTATCCTGATGTTACGCTGTTGAAGGTACGTTTGTACTCTGCGAGAATTAGAATAGGATTGTCGCTGATAGGCGGATAGGCAACGCATGATGTTCCAAAATTTCATCCAAATAGCGAGCGTCAAAGACCCTCCATGAACAACAACCAATTCTGTGCGACTCAACATTGAAATTCCGCCCATCACCATCACTGAGCTGCCTTGAAAAGGTTGGCTCTGGGAAAAATTACAGCCTTCGTACATTTTCGCCTTCTCCACTCTCTTTCAAACCCATCTAGATCGCAGAGCAAATCTACACTCATCTGTAAAAAGTATAGCAGACCAATCGCGTCTAAAGACCAATGGCTTTGTTCTCGAGCAAGTAGGAGCCGTGCAACTCTATGTGTTCTGGTCAATTCTGTTCCTCTTACGGGGTGAACAACAATCAGTCCATACTGATTTAATCTTCTTCGATATATGTATATGCNTATATATATATACATAGGTGTTACCTAAACCGCCCCTGTCCGTCATCGTACGGTGTGATATGACAAAATAAAAGAAAAACGAGACACCCCAATATGCATAAACAGCAGAGGGCGTGAGGTGTGCCATATACAAGGAGGGAGCAATTAAAAAATTGTCAATCTCTCGCACTTCGAACGTGTTTACGGCGGAACTAAACGCCAGATCGCACTAAGCAAGATCAACCTTAAAATCTTTTCTGTTATTTATGTACCGATTCGCACAGTGCAGTCCAGAAGCTTACGAGAAGAGTCTTCGAGGACCAATAAATAAGCCAAAAGAACAGAAAAAAAACCGCAACAGTTTAGGCGTTGACGCGACCCTCATAATCTGTAAGGTCCCAAAGAACCCAGCGGCCCTGCATTCGAACCCGACATACTTACAAATGGGCTTTTTTTTTAAACACCGGCACTTTGAGGGTTTATATGACCTCCTCTGTTGCGAACCCTCCTTAAAAAGAAAATAAATAGTAAAAAGGGATCGATGCAATTGAGAAGGCGGTCATGTTTCCTTAGGTCCCCGGTCAATGAAGAAGCAGAAAGGGCGGCCTACTCATGCGTATTTAGTTTTAATTTCAAACACAGTAAAAGGAGACTAGAAAAACACTGGATTTTTAAAAATAGACCTTACCCAGCCAAACTGTGACAGGTTAAGAAAGACGTCAGTCCCCGGTTCAGAAGCACGGGTCAAAAAGGGAAAAAACCCTGCTGACTTACGCTTAGATCATGCAAGAATAAACTTCTGGCCAGAATGCGACCACGTAATGTAAGAATAAAATAACGGTCAAACGCCTTTTCAATTGCAGAAAGCTTGGTGTATAGGCAGTATTTTGGCATATTATCGGACTGAGTGTAGACTTCTGGCACGGCGGAAGACCCAGAATTATAAATAATTTGGCATGTATGGAGTTTATAAAGTAATATGAGAACCCGAATTTATTGGAGATATTCTTGATAAATGTGGGTATGAATGTTATATAAACTAGCGTATTGGTGTTTGGTGTAAATGCTCGGCAACCATCTAGTGGCCTAGCCTGTAATTTTGGGTAACGAATTACCACGGTGAATTACTAAATAATATGGGTGGATGATCTTTGGAGAGAACTGATTATGAGATATAGAGCGAGCGGATGAAACGCCGCAGATAAAGTATCACAGGTATTGCGAAAGTATAAGAAAAGTAAGGCATAAATATAAAGATATAAAATTCTCCCAAAAGATCGCAAATAAATGTTGAAGAGGAAAAATGTACCGATAGGCGGCTTTGACCTGCTATTTGCCGTAAAAAATAAAAACCTTAAAATTGAATGAGAGGATTTTGTAATTAAATATACGTTTTTACTACGAAACTTTTAGTGATTATTGATATAATCACTCATCATCAATAATAGTCAATCTGGCAGGATAATTCAAAAGTTGCACTGAAAATTTGTGTCAAAAATGCAACCGAATGCCAAAATTGTAACATCTAGCCTACACGACTGGCAAATTTCAAAGAAATAACTATGTGTGTGGTGATTAGTGACCGTTAATAGATAATTATTCAGAAATTGTGAGATGCGGTCTGGTGTGATGTAGGTTTCAGAAAAACATTTTCTTTATCGTGCCAACGTTACGATCTTTATTGAGATCATCTTCAGGGCCTGGGATTTACAAACATTGTTTACATTTAAAAAATACATTTAGGACGGGGAAAAAAGTGAATTTATACAATGCAAAATGTATTTCTTTATATTCAATCAAAGTATTTCTACTCACTCAAAGTGTTTGTCTTCTGTGTAATTGTGTCATTCTTGCGTGTCGTGTTGAGAGTACCAGTGAGATTTTGCTGTTTTATGTTTATACACGTTGGATTTTGAAGGGGTGGGGAAGGAAGTCGGTATAGAAAAGACATTTTTGTATAAGGCGTCGACTTCTTTGAGGTGAAAAGAGCCGACGAAGGGAAACAAGATGTTGGTAATGGGTCGGCCAGATTATCCTTTCAGGATTATATAGAAAGGGATAAATAGGAAAAGGAAAGCTAAATTATTGGAGAATTAGACTATCTGAAAAATATTTGATGTGTGGAATGTAGTGTGATGATATTTGTACGTTATCTATATTGAATTTGATTAATGATATTGGCGTAGCTGCGACTGAGTTTACATGTATCTGTTCTGTACTTGATGCTGTGTTTATCTTTGTTGATATAAATCATTTCTAAGAAATTACGTTTATGTTTGTTTTGTTCTAATGTAATATTTTTGGATTGTCGAAGTCGAAATTGTTGGTGTTCAAAATGGTGGGTAGCGAATGCTGTAGGATTTTGCTTGGGTTTCTTGCAATCATATGTTGTTTTACTCTCTTGTCCAGATATTGGGATGTAAGACCGATGTAAGTTGCCGGACAGTTTAAACAGTTGATTTTGTAGATTGCGTCAGATTTATTTGTTATTGGTGTGGGATCTTTAATTTTGGGAAAAAGTATATGAATTTTTTATAATTTTTGAATGTTATTTTGAAGTTATTGGACGAGAGAAATGTGTTTATAATTTATATGATAGGCCTTGAATAAATGGCATGGAAATGTATTCAGGTTTGTTTTTATTTTATAGACTTAATGTAGTATTATTAGTAATAGTGGATGGTGTTAGTGTTGAGTTGTAGTTGTTGATTATTCTGTTAATTATGTGTTTAGGGTAGAGATTGTTATGGAGGATCTGTTTGTATATCTTTATGTTCTTGTGGTGAAATGATTCATGGCTCAGGGTAATCATTCTGTGAAGTAACCCTTTGGCCGTGTTTACTATTGTATGAAGAGGATGGTGAGATTTAAAGTTGAGGTAGCGATCTGTGTTTTTTGGTTTTTGATACCAATCTGTTATTAAAGTGCCATCTAGTTGTTTTATTACGAGTGTATCTAAAAATGGTATTTTTTGTTGTTTTCGATTTCATGTGTAAATTGTAGGCGTGGGTGAAAGCTATTAAATGTATCCAATGCAGTTTGAATTTGATCTGTGGGAACTGCTGTCAATATATCATCCACGTATTTAGTGAGGAAGGGTAATGTGAAGGGAAATTGTGGTATGACTGTATTTAATAGATGTGTCATAATTATGTTTGCCAGCTCGGGCCTAGGTTGGTACCCATGGCTATACCAAACAGTTGTTTGTAAAATTGATTGTCGTATGTAAAATATCCGTTAACTCAGCAGTGTCGGATCATTGTTGATGATGTCAATGATACAAAAATGGCACAATTACACACAAGACAAACACTTTGAGTGAGTAGAAATACTTTGATTGAATATAAAAAGATATATTTTGCATTGTATAAATTCACTTTTTTCCACGTCCTAAATGTATTTGTTAAATCTAAACAATGTTTGAAAATCCCAGGCCCTGAAGATGATCTCAATAAAGATCGAAACGTTAGCACAATAAAGAAAATGTTTTTCTGAAACCTACATCACACCAGACCGCATCTCACGATTTATGAATAATTAGTTTTTTATCTCAACCAAGACCTTTCATTAAAAAAATAATTAATTGAACAATGTAACTTGGTCAATTGACCACTAAAACGTAAATGAATTACAATAAATATTTATCAGTTAAGTAAGCATGTTAATAATACATTATGAACTGAATTATAGTTTTCAGTATTATAGTTTTGTTGCGTTTTATATTATTCGGCTTATGCATAGTTCTCAGATACAAATATAATGAGGTAGAAACTACAAAATAAGTAAAAACGCCACAAAATACTTTTAGGGATTTTTCATATTGAGTAAGCTATTAAGATAAGACAATTACCAATTACCATCCAAGTACATGGAGCATTGTCAATAATTATTTATCATCTAGCGTTGTCGTTTGCACGATAACAAAAGTCAAAACAAATCTGAATGCATTTTCCCTTGAAATTTGTACCAGTATATAAACGATACTGTTTTACAGAGAAAATCACATCGTCTTAAGCTTTCCCAACATGCTCGTCCAATTTGTTCTCTGTAAGTAATCAACATGTAACAATTCGTTTCCGTATATTTGAACGATTGGCACAGTTTTAGGGCTGGGTTGCCTGGTCGTCCAAGGGACTGTCACTCCTGACCTCATGGTCCGTAACGTTTGCGCGGATTGCAACGATCAGATGAGAGATTTTGCAAGTGTGGAGGCAATGCATGAATTTAACTCCCATCATGACGCTTGTAAGCTAACGAATATAGTTATATTTCAATAATATTCAAAAAACGTTTAGCTTTTAAAACCATGTATAATTTTTTTGTGCACTTTGGCAACCATTATACAAATTTGATTTTTTTTCAGACTGTGACTTTCAGCATAGCGGAAGTTGTAGTAAAGTCGTCCCATTCTTCTGCACTAGGCAATATGAACCCCGATGTGCATGGAACGGTCGAAAATTTAGAAACTTTTCAAACGATTGTGAACTGAGAAAATTCAATTATCAATACTATGATCGTGAGTAATATTTTTTATCGGACTTAAACTAAAAACCATTATCACATATCCATTTCTATTTCTTCAGGTTATTTCGCAGTTTCCAACTGCCTATGCCACCCCGATGCTAATCGCAATTTGTTTTAATCATCTGATATAAAAAATGGTTATTAAGTTATAAATAAACATTAAGCATAGCGAGTGAAATATTGTTTTCCCTGAGTCATTATTTTCTTTAAAAAATATTGTTACAATGTACATATATTAAGCCATAGAGTTGCTAAAGGCCAAAGTTATATTGTAAGAAATGAGGCAACATTCTAAAGTTTTTCGATAATAACGTAATAACATAAATAATTTTATGTTGATTATGAAAATAAAATCGCAAGTCTGTCGTTCCTATTTAAATTTGAATTTGACATAGAAATCAAGAAGACAAACACCCACACACAAACGTATAAAAAAATGTACAAAAGGTGGATCCTCCTGTGGCGCCCTTATTAGAGAGATATGCTGAATAGGAATGCCTCGGTAAAACGATGGTAGTCGTCTGGGTAGACACCAGGTGGACATGTCGGGCAGGAGGGCATCGAAATTGCACGGGTGGCGAAACCTGGGAGTCTCGCCCTCCAGGCCGAAGTGCGATCCGGCCGGGACGCTTGTATGAGCAGTAAAGAAAACAATAAAATAATGTATGTTGCGCCAATGGACCGGAGAGGCCGAGTACCTCTTGCGTATCAAAGGCGCGACTGAGTGATGTCCCACCGATGGTCTGAAAGGAAAGGAAAGATGCGTGCTCACCCGTTTGAGGATAATCCATACACAATGGTCACACACATGCTGTTGGGGCACACGCGTCGCAGGTGACGAGCTATAGAGAAATATTGCAAATTTGTCACGCTTGGACGAAGGTTTATCCTCTTATATGGATCGAGTAGGCATGGCACACGATATAAAGGCAAACTTTCGGAATCAGAGTGTGCTGTTGGGTCCCCGGTTTTGATTTTCAAGGGAACGGAGGGTTCCCCATCTTATAAACTAAATGTTTTATGTATGTAATGTCTTTTAACGTGGTAACATAAATTAGATAATGTTTATGTAAGGTATTTTGGTTGAGATAAAAAAGTCAGTGTCATGAGAGGGGATTCGAACCCATGACCTTCGGCTAAATACGCCGTTGCTCTACCACTTGAGCTATCGTGACTTCGATACACTCGGACACTAACTTCCCATCTCAACCCCACCTTTTCAAATTTTCTCCCGTTTTTGCCATTTTTCAAAATAACTTACATAAAGATTAATTAATTCAAAAACATTATTCGGACCACGACCTCTAATGTGTATTTGTCGTGCCATGGCCAGTGAGGAGAGCTGCTTTGGCCTAATTATATTTTTACATATATGGAGAACTGAAAAGTTCAGTGTATAGCACACCCATCGAAACGAGGGAACAGCTCATAGAGAAAATTGAAATCACTTGCAATGACGTGAGGGAAATAAGGAAGAGAAATGCACATTATTTTTGTTACCAACTAATAAATTTTTTTATTAAAAACATGACATGTACGACGTTTTTCTGCTTTCCTCAGTTCGATATCAGGTTTTCAACCTTGCAAAGGGTATTTCACTAAGAAAAGTTCTAAAAAAGGTAAGTCAGTCTGTCCTTAAATAAGACAACTTTGGTGAAATCTCCGAAAATTTTGATGGAAAAGTCATTGCACGAGGCACAATTGAGTATTTGCCAAGAAAAACATGAGTTTTGCCATTTTTTATTATTTGAGTGGGTGCTGTGCATTAAACGCGAATTTTTCAACGGAAATGTTTTGTAGTTTGCGAAATAAATGTCAGATCTGTAATTTAATTTCGCTAAATTAGAAAAATTACGATTTTATGTGAGGAAATCTAATATTAGACAAAAATCACAAAAATTTTAAGATCTCAGGAATGGTTCAAGATAGAAACCTCGTTCTGGTAGCACTGAACTACATTTTATTTAGTAAATTCAACATGGCAGTATTGACATTTAACCTTGTATAGGTATATACATTGTTATTCACTAATTTTACGACAAAGTTCGTCAGGTGCTTCTACACCTCAATTCCAACAAAACTGTAGGTACTTTCTAACCATAAGCGGAGTGTCAACTCTTTCGCAGATCACTAATTTCGTGGTCCGCTTGATCAATTAATATATTACAATTAATTAAGGTTTTTAGTTGAGATAAAAATGTCAATAACACAAGCGGGATTCGAACCCACGATCTTTGGCTTGATACGCCGCTACTCTACGACTTGAGCTATCGTGACCTCGATCCACTCGGACACCAACTTCTCATCTCAACCACACCTTTTTGAGTTTTCCCTCCTTTTTGCCATTTTTCAAATGTCGTATAATCGGATTGGATCGAGGTCACGATAGCTCAAGTAGTAGAGCAGTGGCGTATCTAGCCGAAGATCGTGGGTTCGAATCACGCTCGTGCCATTGACTTTTTTTTATCTCAACTCCTTAATTATTCGTATAATGTTGAAATTCACATTTGACATATGACGTACGTATACGTTTTTAAATTGATCATTTTTCAGGCTAGAATGACGGAATGTACATCTTTCTTTAAGAAACATTGTGTTTACCGGTACAAGAAGAGAAGTAAATTGTAATTTTAAGAGGGAAACGTGGGTTGCCGACCTTGGGCGAAAGGATAATTAACAACCGTAATTCCTGCCGACTATAAAGTCCTTCCTCTGTACTTTTATGAGCGAGTTTTAATATTATAAGAACTTGTCTCGACCTCTTGGTGATAATGGTTGTTGATAAAAATAGACTACAATGGCTTTGGATAAAATGCCAATAATGAGCGTTAAGAAGAACGAAAAATACAATTATATTTTTTCGTATAGGACAAAGTGCATCTTTTATTGTCACATCTCTTCACGTCAATTAATCAATACCATTTTAAAAACAATTTGAATAGCAAAAAACCTATTGTTGTAATAAATAATACAAACGGAGAAAGCTTTTACATAGCACTCTCATCACGACACGCAAGGATGGCACAATTACACAGAAGACAAACACTTTGAGCCCTGAAGATGATCTCAATAAAGATCGAAACGTTGGCACGATAAAGAAAATGTTTTTCTGAAACCTACATCACACCCGACCGCATCTCACGATATCTGAATAACTTTTACAGAGATCACGAATTAACTGTTTTGAGGTTGTATGAATAGAAATAAACTGTAAGAAAGTGCTGAGCCGGAGGGGTGTTGGATGGTCTCCTAGGGTCACCCAATTTGGTAATGTAAGAAGAAAATGAAGAAAAGTCAATTATTTTGGTCCTGGGAAGCCAAAATCACGCTGATTGCGTTCTACAGAAGGCCCAACATCCCATGGACGCCTAACTTTTTTATAATTAGGTAAAAAGTGCAGTGTCTGTTTTGAATGAATAGAAAGGAAAAACGTAATAAAAGTAGTGTGACTTCCTGACCAGGATGGCAGTGACCTTAAGTCACGTTACTCCGTGATAAAAGTCCAGTTTTTTCCATGTTCACCCAGCACAGACAATGATGTTTAAACAAAAAATTTACATGAATTACAACGGAAATGATACTTAGCTTAGATCCACATACCAATGTATGATCTTTAGATTACAAAAACTAACGGTTTTGCAATGTCGAATCTGGAACGAAGTAACGTCGTGGCATCGTCCATCTCTTGCTCCAAATCGAACACGGGCTGCCCAATCTTAAAAAGTGTTATCAAGTCTTTCTTGATTGAGGATGACTGTTTTCAAAGCAAGGGATAGGGAGGCCACAAGGCCTACTGCACCTCGACCTAAATAGATCTATTTTGCTCCTCTGTTAATTATAACTCACTGTCCAGCTTCCATTAAGCAGCCTCCACAGCTTTTCCAGCGGCTCCTTGGTGTAGGATCTTGCTTGTGGTTTTTCTTGTCCTAGTTGCAAGAACCTGCACCTACATAGATAGACCTTCGCAGAAACATAAAATGTTTTCTGCGGTGTTTTCAAAGCAAGACTCTTCATTCTCTTCCTGGTTCTCTCTCTATCTCTCTCTCTCTCTCCCTCTCTCTCTCTCTCTCTCTCTCTCTCTCTCTCTCTCTCTTTCTTTCTCTCTTTCTCTCTCTCTCTCTCTCTCTCTCTCTCTCTCTCTCTTTTCTCTTTTTATTTATCTCATAGTTTTCAGGACGTCTGAGACTCTCACAAACTAACTTGCAACTTTCTGTGTTTCTAACTGGTACCAGTTTTCATACTCCGACTCGAAACTTGCGCCCGTCATGCTTGCACCCCCTTTATGAGAATCCACTCAACCAACGACAAAGAAATTCCCTAATGTCGACTATCTGATTGATGTTCAAGACATGATGATTTTAATGCCTCAAATAAAAGAAACTCCGGTCGCAAGTGTGGTTCAACCATATATAAATAATACGCTTGATGGAGTACTGGCAGTTGTAAATATTGGAGCGGTTTGACGAACACTTCTTTCGTTTCCTTCTGTCCTTCTCTTCTGGAAGGATGTTTTAGAGCATCTGATGAAAATAAATTTACAAGTTTCGTTAAACAGAAGCGTAGAACTACTGCATCCTTCCGCTTAGTGCAGTTGCTTGAATCTTCAAAAAGGGCTATTCTAAGCAGTTACCTGGGTCATGTTGCTTTTTACGAAATTCAAACAAGTTTCGCAATTTCGCGAATTGAATAATTGTCCAAGTAATAAAGCAATCGATATAACTTTTCCAATGAGAGCACTGAGGGCTGAGCAGTCTAAATCATAGATTTGTAATTTTTAAACTTTCACTGAACACCTGTTATTTTTCTCTTTGAGCATTTGTATCACAGTTATGAAATTCTCCGTGCAAATAAAATTTAAAATAAAAGTAAAATCTAATTAAAATATATTTTCTACATAGTTAATGGTTAATTATACTTTTTATATAAAGTCTTGATTGAGATGAAAAATTAAGCCGAATATTTAATTGTGTTGTAATTCACTTATTGTAATCGATCAAAATTAAACAGCTCAAAAACCAATTTCCATTAGAACTTAGCGTTGGCGTTGGATCGGCCGATTCATGTCGAGAGTCTTTGTAACTCGAACTTATTTATGATTTATTATTATTTGGTACGCATCAGCAGAGCTCATATCAACCTGATGATTAGCGTGTAATGCTTGAATACTGTAACGTCGTTAACAACAAATCGTTGAGCAAAACCCTCATTTACAAAAAGTAAGAATATTTTTTCCCGGGTTTTCCTTCTTCGTGAGCTATTAAGATTATACGGCTCATTGTCAATGAACATTCAAGCATTTTTACAACATCTCTCTCCGAGCGTGATAGTTTAAACGATTAAAACTCAAAAAGCAAATTAAAATATATTGAAATTTACTTTTTTTAGGTATATAAGCAACACTGTTGTCAGCAAACACCAGTTCACTTCTATGCGCCCCAACATGCTCATTCCACTCTGTCTTTGTATGTTGTTCAGTTGAAGACAAAATTATGTACATATTAATTTTTGTTTGTTTCAGGGTTGATCCTTCAGGTAGTCCAAGGAGAAAAATGCCTTCCTTCTGATGATTACCCCGTGTGTGCGGCTTGCGAAAACAACATGCAAACTTTTGCAAACCTTCATGAAATGAATGACGCACGTAAGCCATGAGTTGATTTTTAAAACAGTAACAAAACATAATATTGAAGTAAATGTCATATTGTCGGTTTTTTCAATAAAGAAGTTCTCTTATGCCACGTTTTATGAGTATGAGTTGACACATCATTATACTATTAACATATTTTTATATGTTAGTTTGAAATATCATCAAGTTGAAAAATTTGTGACACCTTACAATTAAATATTTTAGAAAATACTACATTAATATTACTAAATTGTTTAATTTTACATTCTCTGAAAAGGTTTTTTTTCTGAATTTTCTTTGTTTTACTTGTAAAAAGTATAATTAATTGGAATAATTAATAGGTCAATTATGACTGCTAACTTATATGGATTTTTATGTAACGTTACCTATTGTGATAATTGCGAACTTAAAATAGATAGAAATAGGATTTTTTCTTGAAACAATTAGAGAGACTGTATAACATGCACAGAAAATTTAATGTTTAAACAATAGTAATAATTTAAAAATGGCAAAAAAGGAGGGAAAACTCATAAGGTGGGGTTGAAATAAGAAGTTGATGTCCGAGTGGATCGAGGTCACGATAGCTCAAGTGGGGTAGAGCAGCGGCGTATCTAGCCGAAGATCGTGGGTTCGAATCCCGCTCGTGCCATTAACTTTTTTTCATCTCAACATAAAACCTTAATTAATTGTAATGTATTAATTGGTCAAGCGAACCACGAAAGTAGTGAATTTAATACTAATAATTTTAAATTTTACTGTTGCAGATTGTGATTTTCAGCATTATGGACATTGTACCGTAAACCATTATGCATGCACCCTACAATATGACCCAAAATGTGGATGGAATGGACTTAAGTTTAAAACCTTTTCGAACTTATGCATGCTAACTCAATTCAACCGAGCTTACTACGATCGTACGTCGACATAATCTTTTCCATTACAAAATAAGCAAAGCAGGCGTATTAAATCTGTTCGTTTTTTCCAGATTATGTTGTTGTTTCCAACTGCGCCTGTAGGGACGACGCCAACAACCCAGAGTTTTAGTTATTATAAAAAATGTAATTGTTGAAGAAATAAATGTATTGCAGATGATTTATCTTTTTTCTTCTTAGATATTCATTTTTGAAAAATTATGTAGGTGTGAACCGCGTTGGTTCAGCGTCCGACTCGTATGTGCCACGTTCTATTATGTGTTCCAACCCCATCGTACCCCAATGAAGTTTACTCATATATACTCAAATGTAAAAGGAAATTTTTGTTGATTCCAAAATATTCAAACAGCTATCGTATTATACATTATAATAGTTACTAATTATTATTTCCTAATAACTAACCATTATTATTACTAATACATAGAATTTTTTTACGTCATATACAGTTTTCAAGTCATTATTCTTTTTGTAAGGTCTGTAACGTCTTGGTTGAGATAAAAAAGTCAGCGTCACGAGCGGGATTCGAACCCATGATTTTCGGCTAAATGCGCCGTTGCTCTACCACTTGAGCTATCGTGACTTCGATCCTCTCGGAAACCAACTCTCCATTTCAACCTACAACTATTCGAATTTTCTCTCTTTTTGCCACTTTTTTATCTGAACCAAGACCTTACTTAAAAAGAATAATTAATCGAAAGAAGTATCTTGTTCAATTGGCCACTAAAACGTAAATGGAATAAGATAATAAGTAAAAGAAGTATCACTTCACTAAATAGCTCCGCGTGGCCACTTCGTGAGTCGCTGCGAATCGAACCCTGATTACACGACATTTGAAAATGGTAAAAAGAGGGAAGGTTCGAACGGTAGTAGATTGAGATAGAGAGTTGGTTTCCGAGAGAATGTAAGTCACGACAGCTAAGTGGTAGAACAGCGGTGCATTTAGCCGAAGGTCGTGAGTTCGAATCCCGCTCGTGACACTGACTTTTTTATCTTAACCCAGTCCTTACATAAAAAGATTAATTAATTGGAAGAAGTAACTAGGTCAATTCACTACTAAAACATAAATGGGTTATATAAAGTATTTTGTTTATTTGTATTTACGCTCTCATATTAAAACTCGTAATAAAATCGCATAATTTGTTGATGATATTAAATCTCAGCATCTTTGGGGGGGAAGGTTGAAGTGTCGTTTCTTTGGCATTTGAGAGTCGTACAAAGGAATGTTGACAAATTTTGCAGTGCGTGATGATGTGTTCGAGATCCTCATATCTTTCGCAGGACCGACATTTTGCTGGGGGGATCATATTCATTCTGTTGAGATATCCATTACACAATCCGTGATTTAATCTTAGCCTTATTATCGTTATGCAAAATGCCTTGGTTATATTAATTGCTTTGGAGAACCAGGGTGCACGGGCTACCCATGTTTATATAAATTATTTATTTAAGTTATTGTTAATTAATTAATTTATTATTATAGTTTATATTTATTTCATTGTATAAATTTAAACACATTTGGGGTTTGTGTTTGTGGTCTTGATAGATAAGCAATACCATTATAACCTGACGGTACACATTTGAAAGGTGTGAAAAATATTTTATAAAAATTAATTAAGGTTTTTAGTTGAGATGAAAAAAAGTTAATGGCACGAGAGGGATTCGAACCCACGACCTTCGGCTAGATGCGCCGCTGCTCTACCACCTGAGCTTCGTGACCTCGATCCACTCGGACATCAACTCCCCATCTCAACCCCACCTTATGAGTTTTTTTCATCTCAACTAAAATCCTTAATTAATTGTCATGTATTAATTGGTCAAGCGGACCACGAAAGTAGTGAATTAATGATTTAAAAATGAAGTACACTTCACTAAAGCTCTCCGTCGCCATTTCAATTGTCGTCGAGAATCCAAACCTATTACACGACATTTGAAAAATGGCAAAAACAGGGAAAACTCATGGGGAGTTGATGTCCGAGTGGATCGAGGTCACTCCCAGAGATAAAATGGTCCAAAATCTTGGGGTTTGTGAACAAGTCCAAGAAGTTTATGCAGGACACGTGAACCGACCAAGTCCCGGACCTTTTAGGGATGGGGTACGAGTCTACAGGCGTTTAACCCCTCGGGTCATGGTCGCCCACCCTGCATAATATATATATGGGTAGAGTACCGCATATGAAAATTCACAGGTATTGAGAAAATTTAAGAAAAGCAAGATATAAACGTAGAAATAGAAAATAATGCCAAAAGTTTGTAAACAAATGCGGAAGAGGAAATTTCTATCGACAGTCAGCTGTTGGAGCAAAGAATTGCTACCCTTCTACTAAGTGGAATTCATCAAAGTAATAAATAACATTATATTTTTAAAGAAATTTATCAACTTATGATGTAATTAATAAAAGGACCACTATATTCAGGTAATATCGTTTTGTAAATGAGTAATAAAATAGTATTTAATTTACAACTGAATAAAAATTTAGTAAAAAATAGTGAATCTGATGAACCCCCGTTAGTTATTAGAAGAAAATGATTAGCAGAAAAATATGTGCTCAAAACCTATTCCTTAAACCACCAGCTGTTCTTAAATTAATGTTTGATGTATTAACATCCCCCTATTGGCCAAAAAAAGACACCCATTAATGATCACCCTAGGGTGGGAATGTCCTAGATTACATCAATCAATCAATGTAAACAATAGACTTCCTCTATTTCAGCTTCAATTCTTCTCTTCATTGCAAAAATCCCATTTGGTTATACTGCCTAATTTGCCGAATTCCCGTGTTATGAAGTAAACTTTAGATTCTGCGAACTGATCCGCCAAACATGGCCTAACGCAACTGTTATTTTCACGGCGGTTCCAAGTTGGATGGAAAGTCGGTTGGAGCGTACTATGACGCTTCCAAAAGTAAATATGCATCGTACCATTCCGCTATGAGAGCTCCCCCTTTACATGCGAATCGTACACAATCCTTATGGCTCTCGAATACGCAGAATCTATCGGCGACAATCAGGTGTTGATTTGTTCTGACTGTAGAAGTGTATTAACCAGTATACCGACTCCAAACCTTTCTAAATCTTACAGTTCAGAATTGACAATTAAAATTATTAACAGTTTAGACGTTATCGGGAATAAAGGTAAACAAATAGATTCCTATGGGTAAGACGTCACTGTTCATTGATAGGAAACAAGAAAACTGATGAGCTGGCCAAGGCAGCTACAAAAAAACCAGTAATAGATAGAGAATTTAAAATACCACATTACCACATCAATGTTATTAAAATAAGATCAATTGAAGCGTGACAGAATAGATACAGATCTTTAAGGACTGGACAGTAGTATAAATCTATCTTGCCTAAGGCCGGTTGCAAACCTTGATTCACCAGAGCAAGGTTTGAGCGGTTCAGCACTATCACAATAGGCAGACTACGTTCAAACCAAGGCATCTGTAAAGCATACCTCCACATGATTGGACAGGACGACAGTGAACTGTGTTCGGTGTGCAACCAACTTGAAAACGCGGAACATATCGTATGGTACTGCAAAAAATTTGGAAGAAAGACACTTTTCCATTAATGCAAAATTGCAAATTACAAATTGTTAATATATCAGAAAAGTGTGGTGATTAGTGACCGTTAATCGATATTTGTTTAGAAATCGTGAGATGCGGTCTGGTGTGATGTAGGTTTCAGAAAACATTTTCTTTATCGTGCCAACGTTTCGATCTTTATTGAGATCATCTTCAGGGCCTGGGATTTACAAACATTGTTTACATATAACAATTACGTTTTGGATGTAGAAAAGTGAATTTATATAATGGAAAATAATTTTTTTTATATATTCAATCAAAATAAATTCACTGACTGACAATTCAATAAATCCCAGGCCCTGAAGATGATCTCAATAAAGATCGAAACGTTGGCACGATAAAGTAATTGTTTTTCTGATACCTACATCACACCAGACCGCATCTCACGATTTCTAAATAAATATACAGAAAACTTCAGCGTTTATCGGGCTTTGGACGATTTTATAAAACGAACTGGTTGTAGTTTGTGACTGCTGTAAATGACCAACTAAACAATTATTCGCATGGATGAGGACAATAGGTCAATGCCAAAAAAATTGACTAAAATGAGATTGATTTATGTCATGTTTTGTTTTGGATAATGTCGTTTTGTTAAAAAAAAAACTGTTTCATTTCCCAAGGATATTTTATAACAAAATAACAGTCGATAAATCTCGAATCACCTACGTTTCATTCTGTCTTGGATAATGCCAGTATGTAATGAGTAGTAATTAATATTACATTTTATAAGGAGGTTTTACAACTCTTGATATAATCAATACAATGTGATTAATTTATAGGGCATTACTCGTTGAGTAATGGTGTTATGCTAATGAGCAATAAATATTATTTGCGTTACTAATGGTGACGTTATATTACGTTCTGTGTAATTTCAGTTAAGGAATAAATATAAATTGTCATTCATTTACGACGGAAATTTTATTACTCAGTGAAAATTCACCACCATGTGAGTGATTTAAGTTACATCGTGTAATGCCGTTATGCTCATGAGTAATAAATAGTGTTTTATTTGCTAAAAATGTTTTACAACTAAATAAGAAAGAAATAAAGTATCGTTTAGATTACACCAGGTCCTCAATAATGCCGTTTTGTTAAAGAACAATAGACAGTGTTTCAATGCCCGATGATATAGACTGTAATGACTCGTAAAAGAAGGGTAATTTTCAACCAATTAAGAATGCGCAATACGAGGTTGACATATGGACACTTACTTTCAGGCCAAAGCCCGCGGTGTGTCTGGCATGAAAAGAAAGGTTGCTCAATTTGTCCCACCTAATTGAAAGGTGCAATTCTTGGCTCCATAGAGCGCGCAGGTATCCACCAGATTTACGAATTCTGCATGAGTACGGCTACTTGTATTGAGACTGTATGTATTTATTAGCGTGAATGTGTGATCGGACGATGGCGGAATATCGAGTATTCATCGACCTTCAATTCGGTTAAGTTGTATAATATGTATAAAGGTTGTTTTGAAAGTGAGTGTATTTAATCGCGTGAATGGTGATGTGAGAGGGTCTACGGTGGAATATCCAGTACCCCATTCACCCTCAATTAGGTTATTTATATAATACCTGTAAAGCGTGAAGGAGAAATTTCTAGTACTCCATCACCCTAATTGATTAAATGGTATGTAAATATGAATGAATTTATTTAAGAATGAAAGTGAGTTGGTGGGTTTGGAACTGCTTACGTTGGGAGCTGAACCCACCCCCCTGAAGCCCAACAATGGCTGGACGGATCTGAGGTCTGACTGCCGACTGCCAGCACCCGGGGTGAGGAATTCTCTGGTCTGATTGCAGTTTACTGTAAATAGCAAGCACCGGATATGCCGATGGACTATAATAATAATAAATTTATTTTCGAAAAGTACAGCACTACAGTAAGAAAAAACATAAATAGAGAAAAATATGTAAGGATAAAATAATAAAACCATAAGTAAAAGTAAGTTATTTAACCAATCTGCACATTTTCGCGTTTCACCTAAAAGCAGCGCTTGTAACAGGTCGCAGGAGGTATATCAGTGAACAAAATTGGTAAAAATTAAATCGAAAGGACTAAGAAGGTGTATATCACCACATAAATGAAAGAAAAAACCCAAAATAATGAAGAGAGAAAACAAAAATAAAATAAAACGCAATTAATTCAAATAAATATAAAATAGAAATTAAATAATACCATAATTGCATTATGATGCCAAATATACCACAAAGAAAGTTCAAATTATAAATTAAAAAGTTTTACAGTAATAAATTTTTTTAAATCATAATAAGAATTGAATTTGTTAAAAGTAATTTTATGATTATAAATAAACAGCAGTTAATGAAAAATTGAAGTAAAAATTAGTGTTTACTTTGGATATAAAAATAGGTCGCTTCTTTTTGTCTTGTTTGATACTCATTGTTTGATTCAGCAAAAAGGTTATTTTTAAAGACATACATACAAGAACGATTTAAAAACAATTTTTTAAATTTCAGAACATGAAAAATGTCATATAGTTGATTGGTATTAAATCTAAAAGGTGTGGAAAGAATACTTCTCACGAGAGAATTTTAAATTATAATTAATGGATTTTAATAACAATTACTGGTTCCACCCCATGTAACAATCCCATAGCAAATTATAGAATGAACCAAAGCATAATAAACTGATTTTAACAATTTTAAATTTAGGATCTTTCTTAATAAACTTCATTTGTAAAGAAGTTTTCACAATCGCATAACCAAAGAATCAATTTGTAACTTAAAATTTAACCTAGAGACTAATATAACTACTAAATATTTAGTATTATTTGTAATTGGTATGGGGAAACAGTTACAGTTAAATGAATTAATACTTGTATGGAAACAAAATTTAAAGCTCTTTAAAACTAATCTTTTACTAATGCAAAATGTAAGACGTTAGATTTATCATTATTTGAAATTAAACAGTTAGAATATAACCACGTTTTAACAAGTCTAACATCATTGTTAATAGACATAAATTATGTAATCAAATTATGAATTATCCTTCCAGAAAAAATCAAGCACGTTTGTATTTACGGTGTATTTTTGTATGTGCGGATTTTAGCCTAGTCAAATCCAACTCCAAGATATTTTACAACAAAATAAAAGTCGAAAAATCTCGATGTTTAATAATTAATATTCAATTTTCTAAGGAGGCTTATCAAAAAAGTTGTATGACGTAAATAAGATTTCTGTTAATAAGCTTGCTAATAACTCTTTAATCAATTAATAAAAGACATTGTTTGGTTTTATATTATAACAACGTTTTGACGCATGTTTCTTCAATTTGAGTACAATGAAATATAAAATATAATTGAATAATAAAAACTTGAGGAAAAACGTTAGAAAATGTTTTGAAGGATTTTCGTACTCAGTAAGCTATTAAGATAAGACAATTACTCTTTTGCAAAGTATATGAAGCATCTAATGTAGTCGAGGGCACCATAAAGAAACAATAACAAAAATCTGAATACATTTCACCTTGTAATTTGTACATGTATATAAACGGTACTGCCTTTCAGAGTATATCACATCTTCTCAAGATTTGGCAACATGCTCAGCAGATTTGTTCTTTGTGAGTAATCAGCTTGTAACAATTCGTTCCCGTATATTTGAACGATTGGCACAGTTTTAGGGCTGGCTTGCCTGGTCGTCCGAGCGACATTCGTCCCTGAAGCTCCGGCCCGTAACGTTTGCGCGGATTGCAACGGTGTGATGAGAGATTTTACAAGTGTGGAGGCAATGCATGAATTTAACTCCCATAATGACGAATGTAAGGAACTAAATATCGCTATATTTAAAAATGACTAAGCTTTTAAAAACCTAAAAAGACTTGGCAAGCATTGTAAAAAGTTGATTTTTTTTCAGACTGTGACGTTCAGCACAGCGGAAGTTGTAGCACAGTAGTTCCATGCTTCTGTACTCGGCAATATGAACCACGATGTGCATGGAACGATCGTAAATTTAAAAACTTTACAAATGAATGCGAAATGAGAAGATTCAATTATCAATACTATGATCGTGAGTAATATTTTTTATCGGACTTAAACTATAAATGATTATCATATATCGTCTTTTATGTTTTTAGGTTACGCAGCTGTTTCCAACTGCCTATGTCATCCCGATGCTAACAAAGATTTGTTTTAATCATCAGATTTTAAAAAAATGTTATAACTTTTAAATAAACGTTATTCATGGCAAGTGAAATATGGTGTTTCCTGAGGTATTCTCTCATTTTAGAAAGATTATTACAATGTGCACATTATTCGATGGAGTTGCTTAAGTTATAGGCTTTTTGAAAAAAAAAAAAAAAAAAAAAAAAAAAAAAAAAAAAAAAAAAAAAAAAAAAACCGACACCCAGAAATGACCTCCGCTGTTCAAAACACCCATAAAAAATTATCGAAAAAATATAGAAATGCTGAAAATACAAAAGGTGTAAGAAGGTCGGGTTCGAATGCAGGGCAGCTGGAATCGAACGAGGGACCTTACAATTTATGAGCGTCGTGGCAACTACTAAACCGTTGGAGCTGCCGACGCCCCCTTTTTTCTATAATAATATTACGCTGATTACATTTAGACGTTTAGAAGTACAAACGCATATAAGAACGTACTAATGTATTTATTTCAAAATATATAAAAGGACAGAATACACACATGCTTACAAACTGACAAACGAAAATATAGTTATAGATTGGAAATACCCTGAAACTATTTTTTGTTTCTTTAAAATTCATCATTAAAATTTTAAATTACAAATTTTTACTAGCCTTTCGGAACGTTTTGAATTTTGAAGCCAGCAAGCACAAAAAGTCAAGACCAAAATTTATAATAAATTTTGTTATAAAACAAATTGGATATTGTTTATTATTAATGGTATCTAGTAAAATAAGTCTGTCGTCTACGATTTTTTCAGAAAGTATTTTAGCATCTTATCAAATAAATTTGTAATTTCTTTTGTTTTTAAATTATATTTTTAAAATGTTATGTTATGTGTGCCAAAACATTCCAGTCTAATGTTTATAGTAGTCTATCCAATTTTCAAAATATATAGCAATACGTATACATACTTATTTAAATATTATAATTTATAATTTTAACAAATATATTTTCTTTTTTATCTATTCTGATTACAATTAGAAACAAAATTCAGGCAGTTTCCGAAATCTGTATATGAAACATTTTATGCATCTTAACCGACGAAAATAATTATTAATTTTCATTTTTGGTAATTTTTAGGTTTCTCAAAAGAATTTATTGCGTATTCATGTAAGGCACTTTAAAATTAAAGTTTAAAAAAAACTGATTAGTGAAATTGTCGTTTTTACAGTTTCGTCACTATCAAAATGCCAAAAAGAAAATAGTATCTTTGTACTTTTATACATCATATGTATTCAAGCAAGGTTGATTTCATTTAAAAATAATTAATTATGATTTTTATCTCTACTAAAAGCCTTAATTAATTGAAAGATGTTAATTGGTCAAGCGGACCCCGACAACTAGTGAATTAAAAAAATTTTTTGATCTCACTTTTTCCTCATTTAGGAAAACAACTGTTTTCTTAAGATAAAAATAAACGAAAAACGTTTATTTAGTAACTTCCTCGAATATCATTACGTTGTAAATACTTGTCAAAAATAATTTCCTTTTCTATTATTCATTTATCACCTTTTTTTTTTCATCCCTACCTTTTTGAGTGAGTTTATGTTGGGTTTCACATAACTGAGCTTAAACAACAAATCATTAGGATAGTAATAATGCATTAAAAATATAAATAACTTTATAACTGTATTTTATTGTGAAAAATAGTTGTGACTACCGATAGTTATTTTTCATAGAGAATAATCATAGAGTTATTTAACATTATTCAAGGTGTGTAAATAGAATATTTTTAAATTTTCAGAAACCAGAAAACGTAAACTCGACCTTTTACTAATTTTAATTTGTTTCAAGAAAACATAATTTATGTATTTTTTGTTTTACAACCTTTAATTTAATTTTGCAGTTGGTCATTCACTCCGAATGTTCCCATTGACAAATAATAGATAAAATAGTTAAATAAAGAATTGCTAATTGTTATTTTGCCCTAGTTACATTAGTTATCCTCAGTATATAAAGTATTGTTAGTGGGTTCGTTCTGTCGACATTTTCCTCTGAAGGGATAAAGAACAGCAAATCATCAACATGAGTAGAACAGGAATTCTTTTACCATTTGGTCTGTACTTCATTCTCAATAACCTTATATTGATTTTGTTTATTATAATATTATTTTAAAACAGCACTCGTGATGGTCTTGATCGTAAACGTTTCTGCTAATTGTAATAAGTTGTGCCCTGAAGCAACACCGTGCGCGAAAATTCGCGATCCAGTCTGCGGACTTTGCGAAGGCCGACTGTTAACATATGGCAACAAGTGTACGTTTGATAATTCAGCGAGGTGTTCTAACAGTAAGTACAAAATTTTCTTTTTAATTTAAATTTAATAAGTAGTAATGAAACTAACAGTGCAACGGAAATTTGGTTAAATTAGATGGATTATTATCCCATGAATGTACATTGAGTAATTCTAAAACATTTCATATATGTATGTATGTATATATATTTTTTTTAGGTGGGTAAGCGTTTCCGTTAATTTAATAAACACTTTTACTCTTCATAAATAAACGTATTAACAACTTAAATTTTTTGGATTTTTATGCTACTATTATTTTTGTTGAATTCATTACATAAACATAACATTTTCTTTGTCATTTCAACTAAACGAAATAACTTTTAAATAATAAACCACCTATTTGACAAAATAAAATGTTCTTAATAAAATTTTTACAGTACATGTCTCAAACCCTTCATAAATTTCTAAATTAGTCAAAATTTCTTTCGTATTCATTCTAATTGCCTGATGAAGGCGATGCATTTCTATATATCAGTCGTTCATTTCGCCAACTTCTGACATTATTTAAAAATATTTTCAAGAAAAAAAGACGAGGCATTATAAAGCAAATGAATTACAAATTATATTAATAGATAGATTACATAGATTCCATATGGCTTCATAACATTGACATCCTTGTCGCGGTTGACATCTTAAATATAAAAAAATAATAAAAAATATAATAAAAAATTCGAATTATGAATAGGAAATCAAGAATTAGATTATTATACAATTACGCATTACAAAACAGTACTCAATGGTATTTCTACTTAAATTTGGGAATCTTATTTTATTTCGAGTATACACTCATAAATTCTTAAAATCATATTAAAATAGAATCTGCCTATCCAATACATTATGAGAAACACAAATACCTTTGTTTCTATTAGTCATATCACACTTTCTATAAAATAGAATTTGTTAATGATTGGTTACTGTAATGTTTATCAGTCAAAACTGTTAATTACCATTAATTAATTATGTCTCTCTCTTCTCGCTCACGTTTGCCCTCACTCACTTTATAGATCTATCTTTATATTCTTTGCTCACATACACTTCCTTTCTCGCAATAACTCTTTTTGTCTATCCATTTTTTCTGTTTATGTACCTATTAATATACGTTATTATCTAACTAGCGTGTATGCATCTTTCTCTCTCAATTTCTCTCTCTCTCTCTCTCTCTCTCTCTCTCTCTCTCTCTCTCTCTCTCTCTCTCTCGTCAAATTTTTTTATCCGAAACATCATCTATATTTATCTATCTATTTATATAATATATTTATTTATCTAATTGCCCATTGCCCATCTTCCTATCCTAAAATATCTTTCTCACTTTTCATTCTTCTTTCACTTTGGAAAATGGGCCTAGATTTATTATGCGGAGCGATTAAGGCACAATGTACTTTTTTTAATGCACACAATGTAAGTGGCATTGCAAATCTAAAATATTGTTACGTAACAATAATATACAAAGCACCGGATTAAACCGTCTCAATCAAAAAAGTAATGGTTCAACGATGGAACTTGAAAAGTGGAATTTGTGGATTCGTTTGCCTACAAAAGGCAAATTTAGGACTGGGTTGTAGAATTTTTGGCGAAGACAGCGATTGGCAGTTTCTGTAATAAATTAAAAATAAAAAGCTGTCTTTTCGTCTTTATTTTATTTCGCAGTGAGCCAATAACGTTTTTTACGTATATTATGACTGATATTACATTGTTTAAAAAAATAGACATATATAATCAATTATTTTATATTAACATTAATAGTTACGAGTATAAGAAGTTATTTATAAATTTTTTTTAATAAAAAAATAAATAAAAACGTTTTTCAAACATAAGAAGTGTTTTAACATTTTTGCATTTTATTACATAATTCAAATACATTAGAGTTAGTCCGATTGACCAAATAACTTCTTTCAATTAATTAAACTTTATGAATACTTAACTATAAAAAGTAGGTGTCGCGAGCGGGATTCGAACCCACGACCTTCGGCTAAATACGCCGCTGCTCTACCACTTGAGGTATCGTGACCTCGATCCACTCAGACACCAACTTCCTATCTCCACCCCACCTTTCGGATTTTCCCTCCTTTTTTCCAGTTTTCAAATGTCGTGTAATCTATTCGTTTCACGGCGACAAATATTCGTGACACTGACTTTTTTCTCACAACCAATACCTTACATAAAGTATAATTCAAATAGTTAAATTTTTTGTAAGATCCTATTTTTTAGAGCCCATAAATCATTCCAGTTAAAAATAAATAAATAAATTTAAGAAATTAATAAATAAAACTAAAATTAATTTTGAAAAGTACTTTACAATATTATTGGTAGGAGAGCGTAACCGTCACTTTACTTAAAAGTAGCTAAATTTATATTTCGTGCAAAGAACATCTGAGGTTGTTTTTTACTACATGTATTACTTATGAAAATAAACATATTTCCATGTCTTAGACCAAGTCCTATTAGTTATACCGTATTTTCTTCCTAATTCCCTCCGACTGAAACAACGTTCAAGAAAATACGATATAGAGGTAGTAAGAAAGAAACGGCCGTTTCTAACTGTTGACATTTAAAGCAAACAAAACAAGACAAAAAAATTACCTTGAGCGGAAGCCCCGGAGAGGGGTCAGCGAAGGGTGAGAGGGAAGCGAAGATTTGCAGGATATTACCTTCCTTTTTATAACAGCACTCCACCCACCGTAACAGAATAAATTTATCTTTTCGTTTGTTTACCAGATGAAAGGAAATCGCCAGAAATTAAGATCATGGGGTGGAAGCATCACTGTAGTAAAATCAAAAGAAATCTTGCAATACTTTTAAACAATAGTTATAAAATCAATCTTCAAACAGTTTCCCTATTATTAAATAATAATAATTATATATAAATGTAAAATATATAAATTTACATTTTATCGATAAAAAGGACCTAACATAAGTTTTATTTCTCGTACTACTGTTCTATTTATTTCAAAATCGTTATTTTCAGATGTTTTCGTCCACGTTGGAGAATGCAATTCAGTCAACCTATGCAACGAAAGGTGTCAATTGAGTCCAATTTTTGTATGCGGCTACGATAATATTAGCGAAACTTACCAAACATTTCCAAGCAGATGCGAGTTAGAAAAATACAACGTTTGCTACGGGGGAAGTAAGTTTAATTTAATAGCAATATACTAATAACACATATATCTGTTTACACGCACTCACTATATTTCTATTTGAGACAGTTATTATATTTATTTCAATTTAAACAATTATTAATTTTTTTCTCAGGAACTTTCTTTAGGCTCTTTTTCGCCATCACACCCCCATTTTTCCCACCCCCTCCTATAAATACTCTTATTCCCTCTCTATCAATGTTTGTACCATTTCTTGTTCACTCACTATCCCTCCCTATCACTTCTCCTCCCGCTATCCCCTCTCCCTCCTACACTCTCTCTCTCTCTCTCTCTCTCTCTCTCTCTCTCTCTCTCACTCACTCACTCTCTCTCTCTCACACACACACTCACACACATTCTATTTTTCTTTATCTATCTTTCTATCTACCTTTCTATCCATATATTGCTAGTTTTGTGGTTATGAAATTGTATTATTTGAAATACCCCTAATGTTATTGTTCCAAATGTTTCAAAAAATAATTATGTTTTGTTTCCTAATAAGACAGTAAATTTTTTTTTTGTTTCTAGGTTTTGAGGCAGTATCTATTGATCATTGTTTGGAAGTTTAAGACGAATGTATAAGAATTAAAACACAAGAAGCAATAATTGTAATGGAAACAATTACAATATTCATTTTCACACCACCAGATTAAATATTGGAATATTTTGTGCATTTCTAGTTGAATTATTGATATGTGTACTTTAGAAACAAATATTAACTGCGTTATTGTGCTGTTTTCACGTTCTAAACACGACTGAAATATTTAAACTTACATACTTATTTTCACGAATAACTTCAAACCGATTTCTCCTTAAAGAATTCAAGCCCCAATTGCTCGGCCGACGGGCTTAATTAGATTTTAACAACTTGATTTTCTTTGATGTCTGACATTTCTTTAGGAAAAGAAAGGGTTGGGAATCAATAAAAAAAGTAACACTCCAGGGAAAAGAGGACTGCTGTGACTACTAGGACCTAGTCTCATCACCATAATCTTAAAAATTTTCTTATTTAGATAGGCTTTTTCTTTTCTTAAGTTAAATTATATTACGGTCTTTTATAGTAAAAAAAATGACTGAAATAAAATGGAGGAAGGAGCAAACACGCTGATTTAATCAATATTCAAGAGCCGTAATCGTTCCAAGTTGCAAACAGGAGAAATTCAATTGACGAGTTTGCCTAAAGCCCCCAGTGGTTTGCAACAAAGGTAATAATCCGAATACACATGCGGCCCGTGTCTCCGACGTAATAATACTTACTGACAAACAGAACCAAAACCTCAGTCTCCTTGGGTACTTCATTTACACTGTTTTAACCGGTCAAAACATCCAATGTGTCAGTGTAATATTGGCAGTTAATATTTATATCAAAAAAATAACAAATAATAATACCGTAACATATAATGCATATGAAAAAGGTATGCTAAAATAATGACAAAACATATTTAACTTTTGTAAAAGATTTCATATTATATATAAAGTCTATTATCCAAACGCTAGAAATAAATTAAAAATTCAACAGCAGAAAATAGTTCTAAGGTATACGTCTCTGCAGAAAATTTTCGTAAATAACACTGTTATTTAACTAAATTTATTTAAAATTGTTATGTAATTTTAAATTTTGTAGCCAATTTCAACGACAAAATATGTCGAATAATTTTTAAAATTTATAGTCGAAATCTGTTTTAATTCTTAGTTAAGTATCTGAGAATTTTATGTTTACCAAAATAATTAAAATTTTACTGCCCATTTTTACTAGACCAAATTACTAGGCTATTTCTCAAATTTAACTATTGGGTTGTCCGGAAAATAATGCAGGATTTTAAGTTTTCATTAAAAAAAATCTATATAAAATATTCTGTTTACGTTTACAGGNGAATATATAAAATATATTTTGCATTGTATAAATTCACTTTTCCACATCCAAAATGTAATTGTAATATGTAAACAATGTTTGTAAATCCCAGGCCCTGAAGGTGATCTCAATAAAGATCGAAACGTGGGCACGATAAAGAAAATATTTTTCTGAAACCTACATCACACCAGACCGCATCTCACGATTTCTAAATAAATATGATTTAATTAATCTTAATTCAGCATTTGCTTGTCTTACCACTAAATATTTCACTGATAAAACTCGGAAATCAGATGCATTGATACAAGGTGGTAGCGAATCAGATAGTTATGCTATTTTAAACTAGCTTAAATACCAATGTAAGCAAAATCGGTTTTATAAAATGTGTTATTTCATAATGATCTGGTTGACCCACTTTGCTGTTATATGTTTTCCTTTTTAAAATATTGTCACATTTAATAAAAAAAAAGTTACGGCCAATAACCTACCTTCCACGTAATTGAATGGAATCCTTTTTTTCCTCTTCCTCAATTGACCGTAAAGTACATCTCTGGATTGAACAAATTGAATTTGTGAAAGCCATTATGTTTAGTGGCCTGATTGGCCAAATTACTTCTTTCAATTAATTAATATTTTTATGTAAGTTCTTGGTTAAAATGAAAAAATTAATGTTACGTGCTGGATTCGAACCTCCGTTGACCTATTTAAACGTTTCTGTGTATTTTTAAAAACTGCTCTATAAAAATTCACTGTTTACGCACTTTTATGCTTTACAAACACTCTTTGCCCAAAAAATAATTATTGTTAAAATAATAAATTTGTAAATTTAAATATTTGGTAATTATAATTTTTTTAGCGAAATTGTACCTGTAACTCTAGTTGTAGAGATGCATCAAACAAATGGTATATATTACATCTATTATGTTTAGTGGTCTGATTGACCAATTTGCTTCTTTCAATTCAAATCATAGAGAACGTAGGAAAATAGATTCATTAGATTTCGTAGTTCGATTGACCAAATAACATCTTTAAATTAATTAATCTGTTTATGTAAGTCCTTGGTTGAAATGAAAAAGTTAGTGTCATGAGATGAATTCGAACCCACGACCTTCGGCTAAATATGCCGCTGCTCTAACACTTGATCTATCGTGACTTCGATCCCCTCGGACACCAACTCTGCAACTCAACCTACATTTATGACAGTTTGTCACAAACCAAAAAGGAAAACGAGACCTAAATGAACCTAACAATAGACTGGGGCGCTATAATTATCCGCAGAAAAAAATGCTTTGTGATAACATGAATAATATAACCGTAGAAGAACTCTAGCCACTAAAACCGGGCTAATAATCATATTATTCGACAGTTGGGACTCGGTGTGCATCTAGATTTTGTAATAAAGAAAAATAATTGTCATTTGTTAAAAATATAGAAGAAGCTCATGTAGATTTCGCTTTTATTATATGTAAGCCATTTTACAGCTATACGAAGCAAGAATTTATAATGCAGCAGGTGGAGCGCAGTAATCAGTGGTACTGTAAGACCATATTCAACCACATTTGCTTAAGACGTTTTGTGAAAATCGTTTAATTTGAGTTGCCATCATAAGTCAAATAATTAGCCCATATATAAAAGTAAGTTCACGAAGTCGAGATTAAAATACACACCGCTTTTCTTTTTAGTGCAGTTATTAAATGAAACATGTTACCGCAGGTGTCGTTGAAGTCTTGGTTAACTCTGTAACTCTAAGCCCGACCAATTTCCTTCTAAACTTCTCAATATATTTCATGCAGTGAAACCATTACGGCCCCTCTATGGTATTTTAATTGGAAAACTGGGATAAAATATAACGCGTCAAAATCGAAGTTCTAGTGTGTGATCGGTCGCCGCATTACGGAAAAGTATACATACAAGGATATTCATTATATAACGCTACACATTAGCGTGTTAGGACAACATAATAATAAAATTGAATATGCTTTAGCGATATTTAATAAATAACATAGTATAAAAAGGGTTTTGATAATGTTCCGAAATGTTTCCCTGTAACATATATCTTTAACGGTACAGAGTAAAAAAAGTACTTCGGACGAGAATATTACATTTGGCTTCATTCGAAGTTGGAATTCAGTTTTATGTTTTATTCACAATCTAAGCATGAGGGTAGCGTCCCATTTTACTGCGCCTATGAAAGAATTATTATCCAGAGAATTGATTCCCACATCAAATAATAACTAATAAATAAAAAGTATGTAATAACAAAAAAGAAATAAATAAAATAAACTTTATATATTTTTTTAAATATAAATTAATATTTTTGCTGTTTATGTTAAAACTTTAATATTTGTATTGTAGCTTCTTGAACATATACTGCAGCATGGAAATACCATTTTTTAACAAACCGTTTTCGACCTCATGACATGAGTCATTTTCAGTGTTAATTTAAAAGTATCAATCCAATAAAATATCTTTCAATTAATTAAGGTATTTAGTTGAGATAAAAAAGTCAGTGTCACGAGCGGGATTGGAACCCAAGACGTTCGGGCTAAATATGCCGTTGCCCTACCACTTGAGCTACCGTGACTTCGATCCACTCGGACACTAACTTCCATTCTAACCCCACCTTTTGAACGTTCCCTCTTTTTGCCATTTTTCAAATGTCGTGTAATCTATTTGATTCTCGGCGACAAATGAAATGGCCACGGAGAGCTTTAATGAAGATATACACCATTTTAACTTATTAAATTCACTAGTTTCTTGGTCCGCTTGACCAATTAATTCTTTCAATTAATTAAGGAGAATTAACACCTTAATTAATTGAAAGATATTAATTGGTCAAGCGGACCACGAAAACTAGTGAATCTATAAAACATTTTTTATTTACATCGGTTTTTAATCTTATACGTAATTTACTAGGACAATATATTTGAAAATTAAAAACCAATGTAAACAAAAAAGATATTTTTTATAAGATAGACAATTTTAAATTACCACTGAAGAGGACTCATGCCATGGGGTCGAAAAGTTTTGTTAAAAAATAAAATTCCATACAACAGTATACGTTCAATAACCGATAATACTAATATATTTATTATTATATCACCTCGGCCATTTCATTATATATAATGTCTAGTAACATAGTACTCACTGGTATCCAGGAATCTGAAAGTGCCGACGAAACCGGAATAATTGGCGCTTTTGGGACGCCTAGTTGTGTGAAGTTCGAGGACTAGAAATGGGCCAGAGCTGTACAAAAGGTGAGGCAAGGTCGGCAGAGATGAACATAGAAGACCAGTAGGCGTGTCCAAATCTGTGAGATGTGCGCTTTCTAGTTCCATATACGCTTGAATATAATCTCCTTCCAAACAGCTAGAACAGTTGGTGCATGATTAATTATTCTGTTTTAATAAATTATTCTAAATATGTAAATTTTCCATAGCGTTGTGATATAAGCAGTTGGGCGTGCATTTTAAACAATATTATGACTAACGATTAAAACGACAAATATTTATTGGTTTTATAAATTCGAGAGAACATACACCCAATAAGTGACCCAGTACTGGTTCAGCATGAAACTTAAGTGTTGAAATTTTGTGATAAAGTTTGTGATAAAAATCCAAATGGGAGTGTAAAGTTCTGATTGAAAACCTTGTTAAACCCATGAGTAATGAGTTTTACATGAAAAGTTAAAGCTATGCAAAAATTACAATTAGCTACATTTAAAAAGTAAAAAAATTTACGTTGCAGTAATCATTGGTAAAATTTTATTGTAACAGATGAGTTTTAGTACGGTTGAAACTTTTTAAAATAAGTTTACATATAATCTATAAAATACTATATTATAATATACTGATAATAAAGTTGTTATTTTATCCGTTAGGTTGTCGTTAAAATTTAGTTTTTATCTTGAACCACTCTATTCCATAGACAACCAAAAACATACTTTCATAAGAATTAGTGTGTGGTGTTTAGTGACCGTAAGTTAATGATTATTTGGAGATCCTGAGATGCGGTCTGGTGTGACGTAGATTTGAAAAAATCATTTTTTTATCGTGCCAACGTTTTGATCATTATTGAGATCATCTTCAGAGCCTGGGATTTATAAACATTGTTTAAATTATACAAATTCACTTTTTTCACATCCTACATGTATTCAGGGTGTCCCAGTTCCTTCTGGCGAAACTCAGAGAATCGATCTACTCTTCGTTTGGAGCAAAAAATGCCTAGGAGAAAATTTTCGGAAAGTTCCCTATTTTGAAGATATTCGTCAATTTAGGTTTTTTTCAACTTTTCACTACCTTATAAACACTAACTTACCACATAAAAACGCTTACAACTTCCAAAATGTTGAGACTACAAACACCATTTGAAAGAACGCTAAATTTGCTGTAAGATACTTATATTTGCAATAATCTGAATGACATAAAATGTTAGCCAATATCAGTTGGAACATGTCAAAATTACAAAATTTAAAATTTTGGTCATGATTGCACTGAGGTTACAAAGAAATACCTACAACTTGTCAAATTTCACAAAAACTTTTTCATCTAATATGCTTTACGTTGATATATCCAGATTTTTAAATAACGTTCTAGTAGAGTTGAAAAATAACAATTGAATGTTCGATAACGTGAGCTAAGGTAAATTTGAAGGGAGGGATAGAAATAAATCAATTAGAACTCGCTTTGTAATAGAAATCCAGAAAGTCAGTTATACATTCGAGAAGAGGGAAAACACTTTGAGCATTTCCTCTGAAAAGTTCCTCATTGTTGTTAGGTGCTTACTACAAGAAGAACCATTGCATTTTATTGTAGGCATGGTATGGTTTTTGTGAGATTGCAGATGTGTCATTTTTTTTACAAATCGAGTTCCAATTGATTTATTTCTACCCCCCCCCCTGTTCCAACTGATATTGGCTAACATTTTATGCCATTCAGTTTATTGCAAAGAAGTATCTTACAGAAAATTTAGCGTCCTTTCAAATGGTGTAATTGGATTTCTTGTAGTCTCAACATTCTGGAAGTTGTAAGCGTTTTTATGTGTTAAGGTAGTGAAAAGTCGAAAAAACCTAAATTGACGAATATCTTCAAAATAGAGAACTTTCCGAAAATTTTCTCCTGGGCATTTTTTGTTCCAAACGAAGAGTAAAATCGATTCCCTGAGTTTCGTCAGAAGGAACTGGGACACCCTGTATATANATACCGATAATTTTACAGTATTGAGTATTTATCTTATTTTTATCTTTATGTACATTAATACTTTTATAATTTTTCAAATTTATACACGTTCTCTAGCCACAGTAGTTTTTCATTGTTATTTTCCTTTTCTATTATTTTTATTTTTTCAAAATCCACTGTGTAATTAGTCTCATTAATATATTTTGTCAAACCTGTACTGCAAAGAGGATTAAGAACCCTAACGCTGAGTAAAACGAAGCAACTAGTTATAAGTTATAAGTTGTTATAAGAAAAATCAACAAGGGCAATCGATTAAAACATCCGCTCTGAAGATTTAATAGCCAATAAAAAGTGTAATAATGAACCTAAAGGACAGGGTTGAGTTAGGTACAAGAACTAGGAAAATCTAATTTCCTGAAAGTTTAGTTGCCAATTCGAAACCTCCATAATTATTTTCTTAGAAATTCCATTGAGAAAAATATAAAAACAAACTTTTGATTTTTGAGTTTTGATGATAAAATAAGCTTTCAAGAAATTTATTAGAATTTGCTATAGAAATATGTAAATTTACTGTTTTCAATCTGCTTGAAAACGGCCTTCCACGAACAAAGTTACCATTCAAAATATGCTTTTGATAAATTGCCTATTTATATTAATTAATTCATGGCTTATTAAAAAAATAATGAAAGTACAAAAACGGTCGATTCTTTCAGAGTTGACAACGCGATTTAGGAGTGCTTTATTAAAAGCCACCGGACTCATTATACTGGATGAATGGCTTTATTTTAATCCAACAAAAACGAATATTTCACCCATATTGTTCCGTTACGATTAAGCTACATTATCAAAAAATAATTAATTAACTCTAGTCAACAAGTTGTAAATATAAAGATCACGTTAATTACACCAGAAAAATGCGCAGAGGAACTTTTTTTTGTTTGAAAAAGATGGCGATTATAAACAATCATTAAACATGAGTACATCATCTTTGATTAAAAAAACGTCGAATAAGATTGTTTATTTAAAAACTAAAAAGCGCTAGGTACATGTTAATGGATAGTTAAAGGTGTGCTGATTTTTCAGAAATAATCATCTTTTGAATCATCATTTAGTCAACTCTTCATCAGATTGATTCCCTTGGGATAAACACGATAAGTCGTATTTATTAAGTTTTGCTAAAGAACGAAAAAAAATCTTTTCATATTTCTACTCCTGAAGCAAAGTGCTAACCCAGTATTGTTAAAAAGGTCAGGAATCCAGTTTATTGCCCTTCCCCTCACCGGGAACGACCCCTTGTTTGAGCTTCCCTGAGGAAATAATTGATGGCCGGGATAAAAAGCAATTCCTCAGATGTTGGAATTTACTCCATCCCCAACTGCAGACAGACGGATTATTGAAGTAATCAGACAAGTGAAGAATGGTTATCCCCCAACTCCGATGGTAAACGGCACGTAGTAATTGGCGCCCTTGTATGACATTTTACACTTAGGTGGCAACTTTTTTTTACGACTGGTTTTATCCCCCGTAACAAACTGATGGAATTATAACATTGCGTCGTTTATGTAAAAACCAATTAGGGTCTATGTTGTACTCAATTTCCATCTTTATAACCCTTCAAACACAAAATTTTTATAAAATATTTAACACAATACATGTATTATGGACAACAAATATACCTAGAACCTAGACGTCTTTACAAACCGTAACAGCGGACCCAGAGAATTCTGCTGTGATTAAGAACAGTTTTTATATCGCCTTATATGTATATCTACTCGTTCTTTGTATAGAGTCAAAGCACGAGTATGGCCATCGAATTTGGTCGGATGCATCGATAAACTTTTATTAACCTGCTGGACGCATTTGCAAAACTTTTGGGCTAAAACATTCACTTGCGTTTTATCCTGGGAAATACAATTTTTATATCTAGTAACAACCTACACGGTGTTTGTATTGAGGTACAGAGGTAAACATTAACGATAGATGTCATCCAAAATGTGCTTTTATTAACCGCATATGACCTACTCTAAATCGGAAACATTCGAAAAATATGGGACCTAGAATAACAGCAATGCTATTATATTTACTGTGTTGTTACTGTGTTCTGTTTCGAGGCAAATTATGCTGCCTTAATAATTTTTAACGTGTCGATCAACTTTTGTCTTATGCTGGACAGAAGGGCTTTAGGCCAAAATGTCTGTTTGTAAACCGTCAATGGTCTATTCAGTCGGTCAATCGGAAAAAATTATAACATGTGACGATGAGAATCGCTGTAGGGACTTAAAACAGTTCTCATAAAATGTACACGTTTTCAACCGTTTTGAACCAGGAATATTTCATTTATGAAATTAATCGAGCAACCTTTCACTGAACTACTGAACAAACGCGTGAACGTTTTGCCAAAAAGTACTTTTTTCAACCCTGTATGGTCTATTCTGAGTGGGCAACAATCCGAGCAGGTAACAGAGAACAGCCGCTGTATCCAAAGACAGTTTTCAAATCGATTAACATCCTACACGCTCATTGAAATGATCCGAGGTACAAAATAGGTGAAGGCCCAGCAGTGTTATGGACTATTCCGAACAGCAAATAATCAATAAACGATATACAATAATATGACCGAGTACTGTTCTCATATCAATCTCTCGCTGATATCAACAGCCAATATTTTTCTGAATTAAGCCAAGGTCCCTTCATGTAGGGGACAAATCGATTAGCATGTCATACATAGGCCAAAATATCTCGATGCCAACTGTTTCCAAATTGGAAACTTTTTTAAAAGAAAATTTAAAAAAATCGTTGAGGAAAATACACTATTGTTTTCATAACACATACATGTTTTCTGTATAAATCCAAAGTGTGCCCTTTCAATTAGGTGGGTCACATCGATCAACCTCTTCACTGTGAAAACATACGTGGGCTTTAGGCGAAAATCTCCGCTTTTAAATGGCGTACGCCTTGTTCTCAAAAACATGGGACAAAGGTAATTCCAACAAACAAAATTACGATGCAGTTTTATGTCCACAGTTTTTTGCTGTCTTGGTTACACCGCAGATAAGATTCAGCTAAGTTTCAACATTAAGGCAATGTTTCATTATTTATTTTAATAGTTTAATTATTCATGGTTCTTCTTTGAACGACTTTTGTACGACCTGTTGTTTGGTCGTTTCTAATCTTATTGGCCTGACTGTCCTT